CCAATGAGCGACCACTGCGAAAGTTGCTTAACTACAACGATCGCAGCCGAACGCGCTAACCACTTGCGCCATCGAACTCCTCAACTCACTAACATGCACCGTACACACACAAACACACACACACACACACACGCGCGCGCGTGCGCGCGCGCGCAAAAGCACAGTCGGTATAAAACAAAACGAAATTTAAACCTTTTTTTATTTTTGATTAGTTAGGTACTTTAGATGGTTTAAATAAGGTTAATTTTTGTCCATCCCCATGACAAAATATCATGGAAGGAGTCGCTGACGGTTGTAACACAGTTAATACTAGTACAGCCGTCAACGAACCTCTTATATGTAAAAAAAAAATGTGTGCGTGTACTAGTGTACACACGTAAGAAGTGAAACTTCTTTATGGCCTTATTTTTCGAAAAATGGTCTACATGCAACTTTCCAGAAATTGGTTAAATAAAGTTAAATTAGATAAAGTTTAAACAAAAGGATTTTATTATCATAGACATGAATACAAATTACTGCCTATGAAACTGTTATGATTACACGGCTCAGTAATCTAAGGCACATGTTCCACCTCCGACGATGAACGATAAGCGAGTAGAAACTAGAAACGAATTGGCAGTCCTGAGTTAAAATGCACGCGCACGGCTTTTGACAGCCAAGCCAGCTTAACCGAGCGAGTATAGCTGAGCGAGTATCGCTGAGCTAGTATCGCTGAGCGAGTATCGCTGAGCGAGAATCGCTGAGCGAGTATCGCTGGGCGAGTATCGCTGAGCGAGTATCGCTGAGCGAGTATCGCTGAGCGAGTATCGCTGAGCGAGTATCGCTGAGCGAGTACCGCTGAGCGAGTATCGCTATGCGAGTTTGGCTGAGCGTGTCTTATCTTTAATAACTATTGTCACTCAGCTACAAACGAGTAGAGAGAGTTCTCGCCGGCGACAGTGTGATCATTCAGCTATCCACTATTAATATAAAAAAAGATGGCGCGTAACGGAAAAATGTGACGCGTAACCGAAAAATGTTACGGTAAATTTTTTTCCAACGCCGATAAAGAAGTTTCACTTCAAAAATATTTAAGATTTAATTCCTTTTAATCAGTATATAAGAGCAATTGTAGCTTTTAAGATAAATAAACCATTATTATTATTTATTTTTTTATTTATTAATTTCATCAAGCAATATTACAATTATAATACATATTATAGTGCAAACAAACACCAGAAAGGTATATTCGTGCACTACATTCACCGCTGTACATCTATTTACAATAAATAAATATAGGTTTTCACACTGTAGTAACTATTATTAAATAACAATATTTTATAAAATAAGTGGGTATGTTGGAAATAGTAAACATTGACATGATAATTAATTTGCGCTTGCACATGCAGGTCACAAAAGACGCACGAACCTATACCGGTTGGGTAAGTATTTTTTTCATGCTAGCATACAAGTCGTAATGCAGTTATCCTAGATAAAGGATGCTCCAATTATAATGATAAAGGATGCTCCAATTATAATGATAAATATGACTTTTTTTAATGTTTTTATGATAAGTTCGTTGTAACGGTTATTTTAAATGAATTATTTTCAAGTTATTGATAAAGTGACTTTTTAATGTGCGTTTTATGTTTCCTTTATTTAGTGCGTTTTTTATTTCAAATAGTAACTTATTTACTTATTGAACCCTAAAAAGCGCATACTTATTTTTAACATCGTTATCTTCTTCATAATCTGTTGCGTTTCACACGAACTTAAGTTCGTTACTTTCATTTTTATCTCGAAATCATCGTATGCAAGCATTTTCAAATCATAACTGAGCATTATTACAATTGTGATTGTATCACTATCCTCAATCTTTATTCGCATTGTGATTTTCTGAATCGCAACTGATCTCGAGACAGATAGAATTCTTGACCTTTCGTTAACAAAAGATTGAGGTAATCCAATCTCGACTGCTTTCGTCGTTTCAAATAAGTCCACGTAGTTAATATTGCAATGAACTTTGCGCTTTTCGCTTTTTCAAATAATGTTCGTGATTGTTTTTTCTCACGGTACCTAATTATATTTTGTTTTCTTATAGTAATTCTGTTTACTTTATGATTCTCCTTTTTAATCCCCTTAAAGAAAGTTTCTGGAATCAAAACTGTGATATGTCCTTTCCCGAGACTCAAACTTTAACTATATTGGACATTGGGCAAAATGTATGGACGCTGCACCCACGTCCGCCACGGCTTAAACTACACTTGTTTGAAAGGTATTATAGTCATGATCATCTGTGCCAAAGCGCATCAAATTCCATCCCGGCAGTATTTAGTTATTTTAAGTTTAATAGACAGAAGTACTATAGCAAACCAACATCAATGAAACAAGGGAATTAATTTAGTTAGTTAGTTCGACACTACATAGGGGGCTCAGGTATTATGGGAGTACTTCACAAGGTTCAAGGTTGTCCCCTTATGTTATTCTGTCGCGCTAGAGTAAATCCATAAATCTCCGCATGGGTTTGGGTTTTTTCAAACAATCTGTTCGTTACAGATAATTGTCTTCTTTGTAAAACGGAGCGACGCAAATCACCCAAAGTTGTCCACGCCTCGGAGAAAACATGATTCCAGTTCATCCATACTAATTGACATAATCGTGTTCCAATGTCCAAAGCGTGTTAGATAAAAATCAATCAAGTGACAGGAAGCGCACAATCACAACAAAGTAAGACGAGTCGACTATTCGCAACTGTAAGTCTTTCAACCCCCGTTAACCGTTTTGAGGTGTCTCAGAAAGAGCAAGCGCAGAATGGTCGGCAGGCTTTGTCGTATATCTGGTTGTATAGCACGATATGGCATATTATTATGGTTACTAATAATATGAAATAAAGGTACTATAAAATTAATTTATTTAGCTACTTAAATATGCCCATGTGTCATATCTTTTGACTACCAGGATATTTTTTTCATCATCATCATCATCAGCCTATTAATGTCCCCACTGCTGGGGCACAGGCCTTCCCTATGGATGGGTTAGGGAGATTAGGCCATGACCCACCACGCGGGCCCAGTGCGGGTTGGTGGGTGCTAACGACTGCAGATGCAGCCGGGACCAACGTCTTATCGTGCCTTCCGAAGCAGGAGGAGCTCGAGATAGTAAATTTTTGGTCACCCATCCAATGACCGACCACTGCCAAAGTTGCTCAACTTCAACGACCGCAGCAGAACGCGATAACCACTAGCGCCATCGAGCTCCTCCATATTTTTTTACGGTGTCATAATAAAAAAGGCTAGTGTTTCATGGATCTATCTATTCATATTAATTACATTGTTGGCGGTGCTAGGTCTGTTTTGCCCATTGTCCTTTAAGCCAAACGTTTGACAGCTGTTTTGTATGGGAAAAAAGTGTTTCATTTTATTATTATTTCCACGATTCTTTATGTTTTTCCTTAGGGAACGTATAAAAAGAATAGCCATTCTCAAGATTTTCGCTTAGCAACATACATTTTTATTATGTAATATAAATATTTTTGTAACGTTGTAACTTAAGGTTCATTTTTTTTTCGGATTTCAGCGAACCGAATGAAACACGAGAACGTAGAGTTTGTAGTGTGACCATTTATCTTTATTTCGTCGGAAAATAAACGTAACGTTCGGCAAAAAGGCAATGTGAATATGTGTGAACCAACAGCAATTTTCATTGTTTTCAATTCATGAATGCGACAGTTTTATTGAAGCTATTATTTTACTGTGAATCGCCGCTACGGGAATGTATGTCGTTCGTGTGTGCATCCCACGTGTTTAATTTGAATGTAACGCAACGCAAAGCAAAATTTAATTAATAACAAGTATTTCGTGATAAATTTAGATTTTCAAAAACTTTTCCTTTATACTACGTTACGGAAATGAATTGGGTGCTCTGCATTGGTAATGAAACCAGAAGCACTGAATGCGTCTACTTCATTACTGAGTATTGAAATAGTAATTAAGCTTTACAACTCCATCTAACGGAAAGAGTTATTTCAGAAACTGTTGTTGTGGTGGTCTGAATACGTCACTATATTTCTCCAAAACTTATTACAAGCTTTTATTTAACTTGCTATGTATGTTTGTTACGGTCAAATCTTACAACTCAATTTTAAAGCACTTGCCCTCAACCGATTAAGCTGAAATTTGGTATGCTCGTTCAGTTCGGATGACAATGCATGATTAACAGTGTGACGTCATTCTAAATCCAATATGGCGGCATACCCAAAATGGCGGACCAATCATTTTTAATGCATTCCTACAATATGGGTATCAAATTAAAGGACTTGCTCAGAGTAACACGAAAAAAATGTGACGTCACTCTCAATCCAATATGGCGGACTTCTAAAATTTGAAAATCTATTTAGAAACAGATATCTTTAACTAATTTAGTTGAAATTTTCTTTTTTTCTTTTTAGCGCATTTGAATAAAAGCTTGTTTTTAAATAGGTTTTTTTTACCCTAATTTTATAAGATAGCAACAGCCGTCTTTGACCTATTGGAGGCCCTGGGCATATTAGTATAATGGGGCCCCTATGACTTGCGTTTGGTGATTTAGCAGGAACTAGGGACTTTGTATTTGATCTGAGGGGGCCCCCTATCGATCGCGGGGCCCAAAGTGCCCACTGGAAAAGACGGGTCTGGATAGCAATAAATAGTTTGTCAATTACACAGTGAATAGAACACTGGAAGTAAATTAAATTTTAAAAAATCGAGTTTCTTATTGCAACAAGTGATTGATTCCATAATCATCCGAGACACACTTTCCAATGTTAAAATGGAAATGATAAGACGACTAACAATGGTAATTAATAAATAATAATTTTGTTTCAGGTTCGCGTCTGATGGCACGATGATACATAAGAGAAAAGTTCGGCGGGCGCAGCGTGCACAGAGGTAGCCCGCGCCAGCTAGGGCGGAGCGGGCGATGCCGGTGCGCGGTCACATAGGAGCGGGTGATGCCGGTGCGCCGTAGCATGGGAGCGGCGTAGGATGCGCGCGACCGCGCCGCTGTGCCTCCTGCTGAGTGTCATAGCTCGCGTGCACGCATTCGTACCGGGGGCGGATGGTAAAATCACTATACCGTATCTTGATCGAACGATAATTAGGTAGCTCGCCCCGGCTGCAGCTGAGCTGGCTATGCCGGTGCGCGGTTGCATGGGAGCGGGCGATGCCGGTGCGCGGTTGCAAGGTAATGGCGTAGGATGCGCGCGACAACGCCGCTGTACCTCCTGATGAGTGTCATAGCTCGCGTGCACGCGTTCGTACCGGGGGCCGATGGTAAGATTACTATACCGTATCTTGATCGAACGACAATTAGGTAGCTCGCTCCGGCTGCAGCTGAGCTGGCTATGCCGGTGCGCGGTTGCATGGGAGCGGGCGATGCCGGTGCGCGGTTGCAAGGTAATGGCGTAGGATGCGCGCGACAACGCCGCTGTACCTCCTGATGAGTGTCATAGCTCGCGTGCACGCGTTCGTACCGGGGGCGGATGGTAAAATCACTATACCGTATCTTGATCGAACGATAATTAGGTAGCTCGCCCCGGCTGCAGCTGAGCTGGCTATGCCGGTGCGCGGTTGCATGGGAGCGGGCGATGCCGGTGCGCGGTTGTAAGGGAGCCGGTGGCGCCGATGCGCCGTAGCATGGTAGTGGCGTAGGATGCGCGCGACAACGCCGCTGTACCTCCTGATGAGTGTCATAGCTCGCGTGCACGCGTTCGTACCGGGGGCGGATGGTAAGATTACTATACCAGTATCTTGATCGAACGACAATTAGGTAGCCCCCTCCGGCTGCAGCTAAGCTGGCTATGCTGGTGCGCGGTTGCATGGGAGCGGGCGATGCCGTTGCGCAGTTGCAAGGGAGCCGGTGGCGCTGATGCGCCATAGCATGCTATTGGCGTAGGATGCTGTAGGGCCGCTGTACCTTCTGCTGAGTGTCTTAGCTCCCGTGCATGCGTTCATACAGGGGGCGAATACTAAGATCTCTGTAGCGTATCTTGATCGACCGAATATAGGTACCCCGCGCCAGCTGCGGGGAATTGGCGATGCCGGTACGCGATCGCACAGGAGCGGGCGATGCCGGTGCGCCGTAGGATACGCGTGACCGCGCCGATCTCAATGCTTCCTGCTGAGAGACCAGTACCGTGTCCGAATTGAAGGGCCATTAATCCGTAGCGGAAGAACAGAGAATGACATTTTCATTCTTCTATTTTTAATTTATTTAAGAAGTAACTGTCTACATTACATCAGACGCAAAAATAAAGTAGAGATATCTTTTTTGAGAAAATACTTAAGATGTTCCTTAAATTACGCACTTCATATTGAACTTACAAGTCAGGCTAGTCTCAAAGATTCGTTATAACCAATTTTACACTTCAGAGTCATTAATTTTTTTAGGAATAAGTTGAGGACCTCCTCAGTTTGGTGCAAACGAACATGACGACCGTCAAATAATATAATACCAATTATGTTTCTATCAAATCATAACAAAGCCTGTCGTAACATCGATCGAACAGATAAAAGCGGCGACGAGTTGGCTGTTTTATAAAATTTAATCATTTATCGTTAAACATCAAATCAATCAATCAAATCGAAGTGCCATTAGAATACACCAATCAATGAATGGATTCTACCAATATTCGGTCGCAATAATAACTACTGACGGGTGGTATTAGAAAAATTTCTACCAAAACGACTGTCGCAAAAGGTTAAGTATAAAATAAATAATGTAAAAGTTGACGCCAAAGGCGAAACAACTTGAGATTGCACGAAGACATTTATTAATTTCATATTTGAGACTTCAACGCTGTGTTTTAGTTGAAAAAAAAAAAACAGTTTATTTGTACAGCAATAATGAATCATTCGATTTTTTTAATGATGGTAATTCCTATTCAAATAAAGAACTTACTGCTTAATTTGATATTCAATGCAGTTTCGCATCTATAGTTACTGAGTCACCTTGAATTGAACTAGATGTCGCTATACTGTTATAGATTGCGGTATCGTTTCGTTATCCATCGTGTACAAATAGTAGTTTAGATAAATAAATAAATAAATGTCTCGTTCTACGAGTATGATTTTTTGTTGTCATTTCACGGTTTTGGGGTTTTGTACCAGTAATGGTACGTACTAACGGTGGGTCGTTCTCAAATTTTCTGACGACGAAACGCAACCGTTTTTTCTTAAACGAAAACTAGTCCTCGAAACGGTTCTCGTTCGCAACTGGTTTTGGTTGCGACTGGGTGACGCAACGAAACTGAACTAAATGAAATCTTGTGAACGTTCGTTTCGTTGCTGCGAACGAGACGACGAAACATCGAAATAAATGTTGTGTTATACGATAATCGACTTTAAATGTTTAATAATAAAGATTATATTATTGTAAAATCAAAGCTTAATTATCATAGAACGAAACGGCCTCATATAATTGCGTTCTATTATAGACTGTATTTGTTTCACCATAAAGTACATATTGGCGTGCAGACAATCCGAGGACTAGTTGTTCGACGAAGACTGTTTTGATCCGAAACGTAAAACGGCTCTATCGTCGCGGAACACAAAACGGTCCTTGAAACCGGTTCGTCTTTAGAACGCCCACACCTAGTACGTACATGCAGCAATTACCTAAAATATAGGAATATTAATTTGGTTTGTTCATGTTCACTAGCGTTTATTTACATGATTTCATTCATATAACTTAAAACTAATAATTATGCTTGCTGTCGTATCCTGTTTGATTTCGTAAACGAAAATAATATAGTTTTCATGCGGCAATTTTCAACAAGTCGTGATAAATTTGTACGGAAAAAGCAATTAACCCGTATAAAGAATTCTTTTCATATTTATACTAGCAGTACCCCCCGGTTTATTAGGGATATTTTCCAGCAGTAAAACGTCTATGTGTCCACGGTGTCAGCTAACTCCATACCAAATCTCTTATCTATTAGACAAGTCCGTCCGTCCGTCCGTGGTGCTGTTTCAGCGGCCAAACCGTAAGAGATAGATAAAGAGAATGTTTAAGTTATAAGTTGAGAATAGTCTGATAAGACTACAAACCGGATGTGAGTAACGTAGCACTTCCGGTTTTCAAGAAATCACGTGATTTCTATTTCAAACGAAACCACACAAAATCTCCGAAGTTCTCAATTAATTAAATACATTTTTTTTTTTGGTGAACATTTGGTTCACTGGTTTGCTAGTTTTATTATAATCTCTCCAGCCATTTAGACGTGAAGATGTAACAAACATACAAACTCACAAACTTTCGCCTTTATAATAGTAGTGTGATAAATAAAGGATGCTTTCCAAAGTCAACTTATACAATAAGTGGCTTGCATCATGCATGATGATGATGATGATGGTATCTTCCTAATTATTTCGTTTAAATTTCTTATCTGGATCTCCTCTATGCATCGGAAGGCAAATAATTATAATACCGGTTGCATCTACAGTCGTTATCACCCAATCGCTCTTCCCAGTCCATTGATAGGAAAGGACTGTGCCCTAACAGGGCTAATAGGGTTGTCCTCTTTATCAAGGGGCCTCTTTGTCAATCTGGTCTAGAGTTCTCCACTCAACACCCCACACCCCACTCCAGAAATAAAACAAATCAAAATATAGGTCAGAACCCAATGCCTTTATATGGCTTCTGCCGATAAATTCCTGGTCATTTGCACCCCCCAAGAATTAAAACCCTTTATAGATATAAAAAAGCCATAGCTTCTATCTCCCCTCGCAGCCGCAATCGCAACAATCCCAAATACATCCCTAATGTATGTAACGTGGGTATATTTATAGTAATATTTAAAAAAAAAATGGGTGCGTGTACTTATGTAGGCGCGTGAGAAGTTATCCTTCTTTGGCATCGTTTAAAATTAGTTTTTAATTGCATGCAAATAATTAATGACAATAAATTAATAAAAAGTCTGGAACAGGACACAGTCAATAAAGTTCAGTTTTAATTTGAAAAAATAAATAAATAATCAAAATATTCAATTAAAATCGCTACTGAATATAATTTATTAGAACATATGTGATTTGCACTTGCATGAAACTCAAACACGTATTCCGAATATACAAACTAGAAACATGTGGATAAATATTATAAATATGAATACCTATAACTGTTACTTTATTACAAAAAATAAAGATGTGGTTTTTGGTTCTACTACACCAATGGTCAAGAGATGGCGCTGTAGTCTCCTGAATCGCGCTTTGGTTCCGTTGTTCCAGATTAATAAATACTTTTGATAGGCCTTCACAATGCAGTCGTTAGCACCCACTGAATAGAGATTCTATTTCTATATTGTTGGTAGATTTTCCTAATGTGCGGTAAACACAAAAGTAACAGCATGAAGTTGGTCGCTTTAGCGTTAATGCTTCATGCTGTTAATTTTTGTGTTACAGTGATGCGCGCTCATCTTAAAATTTCACTCTTATCATTTTTTCATAACGCGCCTAAAGAAGTATAACTTCAAAAACTGGTATTCGGGGATTCCGGGGCAAAAAGGTCTAATTACTGGACACGGGGCAAGACGCAAAATTCCGGGATAATCCTGGATTTCCCGGCAACCTGGCTAGCCTAATCTGGACTCAACAGGGCGCTACGACCATGCCCATAGTCTCGGCATACACTCCGTTGACCTTGGTCCTTATAGTGAGGGTCGTGTGATCTATGATCTTAGTGGGTAGTGTCCTGCTCATTTCGTTGAGCACTGAGCTGTGGAAATATAATTATGGATTGGTTGCAGGTCCAGTGTCTAACCTGGAAGCCATAGAGGGCGACAGTGCTACGCTGTTGTGTGATGCCTCCACAGATGCTGGCGACGAGTTGATGCTCCTCGTGTGGTACAAAAACAACGCGCCTATATTCAGGTGAGGAATAAAACCGCTAAAATATAATGTGACTACATCGAGCCCTTACCGCCAAATTATCGTAAGCGACACTCGCCAATTTATCGTAAGCGACACTTTTGTCGAAATGCGTTTTTTGTGGAAACTAATATTTTTAACCGTAACGGACCCATCTCTGTTGATATTTCCCTCTATTCTTCCCTCTATTATATAATAACGGTGTTCTTTTGGAGGGAAATATCAACAGAGATGGGTCCGTTACGGTTTAAAATATTAGTTTCCACAAAAAACGCATTTCGACAAAAGTGTCGCTTACAATAATTTGGCGAGTGTCGCTTACGATAATTTGGCGGTAAGGGCTCGACATTATCTCTACATATTTCGGAACTTTGATATATGAGTCGTATAGTATCAGAGGCGGCAAAGTAGGGCGAAACAAATATTTGGCAAATAAAAAAAAAAACTGTTTAGTCTCGTCTTTAAGGGAGGATAAAATATTGACATTTCACTAGGATTTGTAGTTATGATGAATGTCAATTATAAAAATCCTGTCCTGTAACGGTCGATGGCGTGGGTGGTTAGCGCTTTCGGCTGCGATATTTGAAGTTAAGTTTGGTTGGTGGACCAAAAATCTTTTATCTCGAGTTCCTCCGGGCTTCGGAAGGCACTTTAAGCCGTTGGTCCCAGCTGCATCTGCAGTCGTTAGCACCCGCCAATCCATACTGGGCTCGCGTGGTCGGTCATAGCCCAATTTCCCTATTCCATCCATAGGGAAGGCCTGTGCCCCAGCAGTGAGGACATTAATAGACTAATGAGAATAAATGTAAAAGTATTATATTTAACATTGTAATCGCCTGCAATGTGAAGAAGTGGCACTGCCTTGCAGACAGATGTACTAGAAAATATTCGTCTCGTATTCTTCTGTCAGGGTCAGCGTGTAGCGTCAGCATGTACTTTGCATCTAGGACAGGCCGAGCACAGAATTAACAGATGACGCACAACAATATTAGTTAAGAGAAGCTCGAAGGCGCAGGTGGTTAGCGCGTTCGGCTGCGATCGTCGAAGTTAAGCAACTTTCGCAGTGGTCGGTCATTGGATGGGTGACCAAATATCTTCTATTTCGAGTTCCTCCATGCTTCGGAAGGCACGTTAAGCCTTTGGTCCCGGCTGCATGCTGCACCCGCCAATCCGCACTGGGCGCGCGTGGTGGGTCATGGCCCAATCTCTATATTCGATCCATAGGGAAGGCCTGTGCCCCAGTAGTGGGGTCATTAATAGGCTGATAATGATGATGATGAATACATAAGATGCAAATTAAAATAAACGATGTTCTTAGTTATCAAACTGGACGACCTGGCTGTTTAATTTCTCATCTCCCGTCACTAGGAGCCAGAAGTGCATTCGCTCAGGTAGCAAAGGATGGTTCGATTCCAGCTTGATAATTAAGCCAAATTGAATTGCCAATTGAAGAAAATTTTCTTGGTAAATTTTAGAACTTTGTGCAATCATAATCCGTACATATAATAAAATGGTAGGAAAGTCAAAACTGTACACTAAATATTTTTATAAAAGAATACTTAGGATGTGATCTACAATCGATACCGAAGCCAAAAATATAGTTTATAAAATTTTTGTCTCTTTGTATGTCCGGGATAAACTCAAGAAGTACTGCATGGATTCACTCCAAATTTGGCACGAATATTATCAAGAAGTCGGGTCAATATATAGGCTACATATTATTGCGAAACTCTACCCCTAAAAGGGGAAATAGAGGGGTTGGAAGTTTGTATAAAACTCCTATTTTTTTTGAAATAAGAGACTTGAAATTTAACATGTATTATCTATAGATGGTGTAGAGGTGTACTAATATGTATCTTTAGAAATAAACTCCCTTTTGGGGTTAAAAAGTATGTGCAAATAACTACCTCCACGCGTACGAAGTCGTGGGCGGCCGCTAGTTTATTAATAATAAGGATTCGGCATTAATAATAACTGTCTTCCATGATTCGAGGAGCTCGATGGCGCAAGTGGTAAGCGCGTTCGGCTGCGATCATTGAAGTTAAGTAGTGTTGCCGAACTATCGATATTAAAACTATCGACAGTTTACATCGAAAATCATGTACCCTATCGATAGGCCTATGATAGAATCGATACAACCGATAGTATCGATATTATCGATAGCTCAGAACAAGGCAATACTATCGAATGAGTGCAATACTATCGATACTATTGTAGTTCATTAATAACAAACTATTGATAGTATCGATACTATCGATAGTGTTGATTTTATCTGCAACAATACTATCGATAGTATCGATACTAGCGATTGTTCTAGACTAAAGTTTGTGATTGACTATAATACCTGAAAATTATAAACAATACTATTGCAAATTGTTAAACTATCGATAGTATGGTTGCAAATAAAATCGACAGTATCGATACTATCGATAGTTTGTTATTAACGAACTACAATACTATCGATAGTATCGATAGTATTTAACTCATCCGATAGTATTGGGTTTTTCTGTGCTATCGATAGTATCGATACTATTGATAGTATGATACTATCGATAAGCCGATCGATTGTCATACGATTGGTTGGCTATCGATAGACTATCGATTAATCATCGATAGTCGACTATCGATCGGCAACACTAAAGTTAAGCAACTATCTCGCTCGAGCTCCTCCGTGCTTCGGAAGGTAAGTTAAGCCGTTGGTCCTGAATCTGCAGTCGTTAGCACCCAATCCGTACTGGCCCCGTGCGGTGGTCATGACTCAATCTCCCTATTCCATCCATAGCGAAGGCCTGTACCCCTGCAGTAGGGACATTATTATTAACGGAAGACCTACGTTGATGGCAACATCAACACATTAATATTAAGGCTAGGAAAATTTCGACGCGGCTAATAGGGCCGTGGTAGCATAATGGTCAGTGCATTCGCCCGGATAGCGAAGGATGCGGGTTCGAGTCCCGTCCGCTGCCTGGTCCGCGTGGATTTTTTTCTAGTAAACTTTTCTTTAGATTTAAACATCTAGCAGTTAAATGCTTAAAATTAAATAAAATAATAACTATAATTGCTATTTCTTCTTTCAAATGTTTAATACTTGAAAAAGTATTCATTTGACATTGTAGGTTGCCTACAATGCGAAGAGATGGCGCTGCCTTGCAGCTTAAGGCTAGGAAAATTTCGACGCGGCTAATAGGGCCGTGGTAGCATAATGGTCAGTGCATTCGCCCGGATAGCGAAGGATGCGGGTTCGAGTCCCGTCCGCTGCCTGGTCCGCGTGGATTTTTTTCTAGTAAACTTTTCTTTAGATTTTAACATCTAGCAGTTAAAGCTAAATCATAACATCAACACATGCTGAGTTAGGACCGATTTGTGACAAAAAAAAAATATGTGTGTTTTGTTCTGTTTGTTGTGTGTGTGTTGTCTCAAATAAATTTATTTTCTTTTCTTTCTTCTTATTAATAGCCTTATAATGATGATGATTGTCTACCCATTCAGTTACGACGCAAGAATAGAGACCGCCTGGTCGAACCCCTCGTACGACACGAGCGCCAGACTGAAGCCCGAGTTGCTGCAGCAGCCCACTAGCATCACCATCTCCGACCTGACGGAGCGTGACCAGGCGCTGTACCATTGCCGAGTGGACTTCCTGGTCGCACCCACCAGGAATATAGGAGTCAACCTTACTGTCATTGGTACGTACTTATGGAACATCAGTTACAACTCAAGAATAGTGAATGCTTAGTCTAATCCCACGTTAAACACCAGCGGCAGACTGAAGAATCATCATCTTCAAGGTGACGGAGAGATGATGAAAAAAAACCATCGCCAGGTAGGGAAAAAATATTTAAAAAAAAAAACAAAATTTTATTCTACCATTTTGTAGGCGTAATCTATTTAAATTACAGCTCTAGGGGTGATGACGGGGTACAGTAAACGAAATTCTATTTAGTCCGTCAGTTAGATGATCAAAAAATAATGGACACGTATTTTTTCTTTGGGCAATCAACCAAAAAATGACAAAGTTATAGCGCGTCAAAGTTTTGGGTTATAGCGCGTCACTTTTGTGTGAAAATTGTACTTGTTTAATTGTAAAAGTGACGTCATGCGAATTTTCAAATCAATATATCTCTGCAATATTTCCATTATGTGAAAAAAGAACAAATACGTGTCTTATTCTTTTTGATAATCTACCTGATAAACGAAGAATAAATTGATAATAAATGAGATTGCTATGGTGCTATACCTAAAGCTAAGAAAATTTTATTCTACGCGTTTAGTTTTATCAAATGTTACTAAACTTTGCTTTGGTGATTGTACAATTATTTAATTAATCGAGCTAAGGCTAACTTGCCTCCAGTGTCCAAAACAACAGACGGGAATTATTGCCTTCGTCAACCTGTGACATTAAAGTCATTGATTGGTATTGTATATAGGGTGATTAACGATGTTTGAATTTAACCTCTGGCAAAAACCAAATATGTAGAATATTTGGTTTTTGTGAATCATGTAGGTAAAACAAATGTTGAGACTAGGATATGACACTGCATTTGTGTATATCACAATCTTAGAGCCGAACGTTGACATAACAATGCAGCCACTATGCAGCCACTGCCAATTTTAGATAGTCGACAAATAATAGTAAATGAATTTTATATTTACTTCTAAAGTACTATAATCATAATCAAAATCATTTATTCAGTTTAGGCTGTTACAAGCACTCATGAATGTCTAGAAGCTACACAATCGGTTCGTAAATCTACGGCGGGAGACCTTGTACTGAGAAGAACCGGCAAGAAACTCAGCAAGGGCTGTTTTTTTCTCCCTGTTTCATTATTTACAGAGTCGTCAAATCGAAAAACGACTTCAGAGATTATTCATGAAGTCACCTTTCATTACATAATAATTAAATATACATTAATTGTTTACCTGCATTTTGATTGCTGTGTCATACAGTATAAATACAAATAGTGTTATTTATATTAAGTGTGTCTAAACATTAACTTCAATATTAAGGAAATTAGGGCAGACTCATCTCCGCTGGCAGCACCCGTTCACGAGCATGACGCATGAACCAGCCATCGCTTCGCTCAACCATATTTTTGGGAACGTAACGACCCGCCTTACATGACACCGTACTAAAAAGAACATTAGCAAATGATGACGTTTCAATAAGTACTGTTAACTATAAAAATTAAATGCATTAGATATATAGGTAACGACTAGATTTAACTTCACACATTTTTGCGAAAATGGAGGCCCATCTGTAGCCTTGACCCTGGTCTCTATGTGTCTTAATAAATCAATCGTTTAGACCACCGTAAGGTATTTAATAATCCACGCGATATTAACTCCCTTACTGAAGTGACAAGAATGCGGTTAACTTGAACTAAATAAAAAGCGTGAAATAAAAAAGTTAAACTTTAAAAATAAAAAAGCCCGAGTACTTAAATATTATTTTAAAAAAACTGAAAATAAAGAACAAGTCTAGTAGTCTTTGATTCTGTTAAGTAAGAAACAGCTACTTTAACAGTCGGGACCCATTATTGAAAAAAAAACAAGATTCATTCTTGAATTTTTGGAGAGCTCAGACTACACAAACGCCTCCAGCGGCGGATTCTTACGCGATAGCCCTCAATAAAGCTTGAATCTAAAGGGGTCTTATACTTGCAAGTAATTATTCATTACAATTACATTAACTTAATAAAACTAACCTTACACACAAAAAATACTGACGGAAAAATCTCAAAATCGTTAAAACTCAAAATAGTTTAATTTCGGCCAATACGATTTCTAGTTTAATTAATTACACGTTATGTGAGGATCTCGATGGCGCAGGTGTTTAACGCGTTCGACTGCGATCATTGAAGTTCAACAACTTTCGCAGTGGTCGGTCATTGAATGGGTGACCAAAAATGTGTTATCTCTAGTTCCTCCATGCTCCGGAAGGCACGTTAAGCCGTTGGTCCCGGCTGCATCTGCGGTCGTTAGCATCCACCAATCCGCGCACGTGGTGGGTCATGTCATGGCCCAATCTCCCTATTCCATCCATAGGGAAGGCCTTAGGGATGGCGATCTGAGATCAAAAAATCGAAGAATCGATTTTTTGAACCAAAAAGATCGGTTTTATTAATCGATATGTAGTACAGAATCGATTCACTGAATCGATATTTCGCCCTTGAAAATCGACATTCGATTTTATTTTATTTATTTGGTATAAGCAAAAAAAGTATTTACAATTATTTGAATGTAGCCATTATAAGAGTGCTGCCGGTAAAAGAGTTGATTATAAAAAAAATCGCTTAATGGCTATATGTTTGGATTCCTTCTCCCCTTTTTAATAAAAAAAGTTACGTTTGTTTGTAATCTTTGAATAAAAATATTTTTTATCATCGAATCACCTGATTTTACTGATAAGAGATCGTTAAATTGTAATATGTATCTTTTTTTTAATAAAATAGACTTATACTACATTATAAACAAAAACTTAAAAAAAGATCGATTTTTCAGAAATCGATCTTATTGGCCCCGATTTTTTTGTGGGTCGATTCATTAGGTCACGATTCGAATCGATTTAAAAATCGATCTTTTTCGGAAAGAATCGCCATCCCTAGAAGGCCTGTGCCCCAGCAGTGGGGACATTAACAGGCTGATGATGATGATGACACCTTATGTTATGATGTAAGGCATTCTAATTTTCTTGTAGGCATTAGTTGTTATACGACTGACTTTATAAACGCACGCGGCGTGTGCGGAACAAACGCCGGAATGTAATTTGTTATAATGTGTCAAAGGGAAATTAAATCCTCTTACACATATAACGTTATTATATGAGAAACGCCGTGTAGGGCACCGCGTACAAATGGAGTGTAATAAACCGAGGCTTCGTTTCATGTTGTGTGAGCAGAGTAAATTTTTATTTTTCCGTACCCTAAGTATAGCTGACGAAACGGGTGGGGAATGTTAAAAGCCACTGAGTGTGATGAAAATGACAAGAAAATAATCTGTACTTATATAATCATAAAGCTGAAAGGTTTGTTTGTATGGCTGAACTCGCTAACTTAAGGAAGTACTGGTCCGTTTTGAAAAATTACTTTCTCGACATAATTGCTCTAAAATGCATTTACGGATGTTGTATAAACATTTGTCGAAAGTTTAAATTACGGGCCGTTGAACGGAGCGTGCGGTAAAGCATTTTACCGCTAATTCATTTAAAGGTCTTTGTGTTCGCTTATACAATAAAGTCCCAAGCAATATCCAAGAGTTAAGCATAAATAAATTCAAAGATAGTATAAAAAAAGCACTTATTAAAAAAGCTTATTACAAAGTGTCTGATTATATTACAGACAAAAATGCTTGAGTTTGAACTGTTCCAATCATTCCAACAGGTTTTCTATATTAAATAAATCATGATTGTATTGACGTTGTAACAACATAATGATTTGTAAATGTTGTTACATTATGCTTTTAATGTTGTGGAGTTTTTTTCGCTCGTTTTTCTCCGCAGCTAAAAATATGTCCAATAACGAGTGGTAGGAAAAAAAATGTTTGGACGATTCAAAAGTGTTGTACTATACATCCAATTTGAATAAAGATATATTGATTTCTGATTTCTGATTGATTGCGCCGTGCGCATCCTTTACGGTTTTTTTTTATTGCGATCAAACCTCCTTGGATGCGCTTTTAATCTATACCTTTGTCTCTGTTCGTTTCTTCTTCGTTCTCTCTTCGATCGTTGAAGTTAAGCAACTTTCGCAGTGGTCGGTCATTGGATGGGTGACCAAAAATTTACTAACTCGAGCTCCTCCATGCTGCGGAAGGCACGTTAAGCCGTTGGTCCCGGCTGCATCTGCAGTCGTTAGCACCCACCAATCCGCGCACGTGGTGGGTCATGTCATGGCCCAATCTTCCTATTCCATCTATAGGGAAGGCCTGTGCCCCAGCAGTGGGGACATTAATAGGCTGATGATGAAAATATCTATAAAAAAAAGTCGTCGATAGCGTATGTCTATCATTTAAGGATAACTCACTAAAACCATTATCTTAAAACTAGCAAACCAGTGAACCAAATGTTCACCAAAAAAAAATATATGTATTTAATTAATTGAGAACTTCGGAGATTTTGTGTAGTTTCGTTTGAAATAGAAATCACGTGATTTCTCGAAAACCGGAAGTGCTACGTTACTCACATCCGGTTTGTAGTCTTATCAGACTATTCTTAACTTATAACTTAAACATTCTCTATATCTATCTCTTACGGTTTGCCCGCCGAAACAGCACCACGGACGGACGGACGGACTTGTCTAATAGATAAGAGATTATTGCAGGTGAATCTTATCGTTTTCGTAAAGTATAACAAACACAAGCTTTCAAGCTTCATAAACCGCGAATTCACTAGAGGCAGCCTCGCGTCGAGCGGCCTCGACTTGAAGCAAATAGCCTCAGTTTGAGGCTGCTCGCTCTGAGGCAACGGCTACGGATCAGCTCGAGGCGTGTCGAAAAGTTTTGGATAATCTATATATATATATATAAATGAAACCCGTTTTCCGTTGTCACGACATAACATGAAAACGGCTTGACCGATTTGGCTGATTTTTTTTTGTAGTTTTCTAATACTCTAATACTACTTCTTACGGAAAAAACTATAAAGAAAATCTCTCAGAAAGATTGAAAAATATAACGTAACGAATGTCAA